AACTAAATTCTTCCAGCCTTACAGTTATAAATAAATTTCTTAATCAGCAGCCTTACTATTATAGTAAAAATGGTAAGTGGTGTTCTCGCAATTCATTCCTAATATGCTATCACAATGTACATAAAATTTCAGCTGGAAGCACACTTAATAAAGGTGTTGAGAACTGTAGAATATTATTTTATCCAAGTTTCTTAGTGGACGTTTCCGGAGGCGAGACTCTGCACTCGCTTTGCATTGCACTCGCGGCACAGCACATGATCGTCCAATGGATAGCAACCTTGTCCATCTACTTCTGATGATAACTGTAGTCCACAATCCTGTAAAGTGACAATACATGTACAAAATTTAAAAATCCTGGTTTCCATAAAATCACTAGAAGCTATATTTGACTGTTTTCAACAATGCTGATTGGTCAGTCAAATTGGGCAGCCTTCCAAAACTAAACTAATGGTTGCAGTGAAAACACGGTAGAAATTGTGTATGATTTTATGGAAATGAAAGTCATTATTTATTGTCAAGTTTTGAGGACACTACTCGAAAATAAAGTATGAAAGGAATAAATATTTTCCCAAAAGAGAGCCTGAAAGCAACTTTAAAAATAATGTCATACCAAAGCACACCAATGAGGAAAAGCTCTATGTTCTGTTTTACAAACAGAAAGAGCAAGTCTAGTTTTTTATTAAAGGTTAAAGGTTATACATTTATATTGCACAAAATACAGGAGTCTCTATGCGCAAAAAAACGAAAAGAGGAACTCCAAGCCAGCACCCAAACCGCAGTATGGATATACGCCCTCATCGCTGAGCAGGGATCTGTCAGAAGGTACCCTGTCCAGCACCAGTTGAGTCTCGGCCATCCCAGACTCAGGCGCCACCTATCCTGATAGAACTGCACAAAAAAAGAAGCTAGCTGGCAAGGAATGGAAAAAGGGAAATCAAAGTGAATGAAATAACTGAGTATTATGATTATTGTACTTACTTCACAACGGTAACAGCCAACATGGAAGCTACGGTCTAAAGCAACAATACGCACAGTTTCCTCTTGTCCTTGCTCAGGCATGATTGGTTGTAAGCAAACCGAACAGCGTGGTGCAAATTTCCTTCAAGAAAACAATTTTTTTATATATACATATACTGTATA